TTCGCCGACTCCATCCACACCTTTGGGGACCCCTGGACCCGCTGAGGTTGGACCCCGGCAACAACAGCCATCACAATGATAGCTATCTGTTGTGAATTCCCTGTCTTGAACCATAAATATATAGGTCATATACTAGATTAGTATCTTATTGGTCACATTGCATAATAAGGTTGCATCTAATTGGTTAATTCTTGGTACCAGAAATCCTTACATACAAGTATAGGCATCTGACTTTTTAAAAAGTCACTTTGGAGCAAAAGAAGTAGGTAATTACTATTATTATATTTTGTAAATCAATCAAAATTATACATATTTTTTTCACATCAGCAAAAATATGTATTTTTTGGTGTGCCATAGAATTTTAGTACGTAGTTTATGTGTGCCATGGGGTGAAAAAGGTTGAAAAATCACCGTCCTAGAGTGAGAGTTCAAGAGAGACCAAGATTGAAGCCACAGTATTTTGTATGACCTAGTTCTAAAAGTTACACTCCATCATTTCTGCAATAGCCTATTGGTTATAAAAGTCAGCTCTATTCAACACGGGAGGGAATGATAAAAAGGCAAGAATCACCGAGGACCACCTTGGGGACTGGCTGCCTCTCAAGGTGATATTAGATCCTGCACATTCTTTGACCAGTCATACTTGCCCCTGAGATTCCCTGCTCATATCATTCCAGCTCTGCTCAAGTTTCACCTCCTCTGAACTTGTGAAAGACTGTCAGCACTGTCGTCTGGGCACTAAGTAATGCATCATCTTGCATTCTTTAACTCCGAAAACAGCAACCATTTTTAAGTTCTTTTATAATCGCCACTATGCCAAACCCAGGGCTGAGAGTATAGATGGTGCCCAAAAGTTCTTGTGGAATAACAAAATATTGATTTTTTTTCCCCTTCAGATATCTTGTGAGACTTTCAGAATTCTAAACTTTATCAGGAATTTTTGTTGTTATCTTACAAGGACAAATGTCTTCCCAATTAACCAAAATTACTTGTTATTTGTAACTTTAAAATTTCCTCAGCACCTGCATGCTAAGACTCTTTAAGCTACTGAAGCCTTACATATAATGATGAACAAAAACCAAATTCCCATTCACTGATGACAAATGAACAGTTGGCAGCAGTTTCAACATCTGCTTTCAATTCATTTAAAAGTGTTGAGCAAACAATGATAAAAAAGGGAGCTGGAAGCTGTAATGTTTCTCCGTTGTCCTCCTGGTGTTTGTCTTTGCTAATTGAAGTTGCCTTTTAAAGATTATGTACACGGACCCAGAGGAAGCATTTGGGGAGGGATTGACCCATCCTTGGTTTGGGATGGTTGTGCTTTAATGTGGGAGTCTGATGCACCCTTTCCTCATTCCAAATTTGTTCCCTAATGTTCCAGACAAAAGAC